TTTTTTTTTTTTTTAATTTGAAGAGTTTTGCAACTGTAGTCAGTTCTCCATATTCTCAGGTTTGGCATTCATAGAAATATTTGAAAAAATTTCTGTATATTGAACATGTACAGACTTTTTTCCTTGTCATTATTCTCTAAACAATACAACTATCAATATAACATTTATATTGTATTAGGTATTATAAATAATCTAGAGATTATTTAAAGTCTGTGGAAGAATATGTGTAAGTTATATGCAAATACTACATCATTTAAGAGACTTTGAGCTCTTGGATTTTGATATGTGCAGCAAAGACTGGATCCAGTCCTCCATGGATACAAGAGATGACTGTATTTTCACAAGAGAAAGAGACCTTTCCTGTAATGTTGTGGTCAGGTTTTAACATCAAATTTATGGTGGCCTCATAAAATAAACTGGGAAGGAGTCCCACTTTTCTTGTTCTCTTGACGAGTTTGTGAAAGAGTAGTGTTATTTTTCCATAATATTTAGAAGAATTCATCAATGAAACCATGAGGTTCTAGACATCTCATGAGAGGGTTCTATACCTACAGATTCGATGTCATTATTAGATAAGGGACTATGAAGGGGCACTAGTTCTTGATTAAATTTTGATAGGTTGTGTTTTTCTAGAAATTGTCTATTCTATCTAAATTTTCAAATTTATTGACATAAAGTTGGGTATCTTTTTAATATCTGTATGACCTATGGCAATGTACCTTTTTGTGTTCTTGATAGTGGTAAGCTGAATTCCCTTTTTTTCTTGAACAGTCCTGCTAGAGATCTATTAATTTTAGTAATCTTTCGAAGAACCAACTTTGGGTTTTGGTTTTTTCCTATTGTATTATTTTAAAATTTAATTGACATCACTTTATATCTATAACAAAACAGCAGACAAGAAAACGCCTAGGCACAGGCAGTGTGTGAGCAATAAAAGCTGATTATTCTGCCAGGGTACAGGCAAGCTAAGATCAAGAAAGATGTCAGCTCCCAGCTGGAGGAGAAATTAAGTTTTTATATGGTTTGGGGGTGAGGTTATAATCCTAGGGAATCTGGGTAGAATGCTTGGGGTCAAAGTTTCCAGGATGGTCAGTTCAGGTGTGCAGATGATACTGAATTTCTTGGTGCCAGGGAGATTGTATGTCCTGTCCTAAATTTTCTTTATGGCCACCTGTTCTGTTTACTGAGGAAAGCATGGCCCTTTAGTGGTTTTCTGTTGTTTGTTGAGAGTTGCATGTTGGCTGAGAGGGTCTCACTCAGGTCAGGCACAACAATATCTTTATTATTTCCTTTACACTTCGACAGAGCTGTTCTTTTTCTAATTTCTTGAAACCGTTATCCATTAATGTTCATTGTTCTTACAACCTAACCTTAGAATTTAAGCCACTTGCCTAACATCACAAAGCTAGTTAGAACTAGAGAAAGCTTTTTTTTTTTTCTTTTTTTGGTGGTAATGATATTGGGGTTTGAACCCAGGGCCTTCACTCTTGAGCACTGCTACATCACCAGACTTTTGAAATTTTTTATTTAGTGACAGGGTCTCTCCAACTCATTGAGTTGTCCAGACAGGGGTTGAACTCATGATCCTCCTCTGTTAGCTTCCCAGAGTGCTGAGATTACAGATATGTGCCAACACACTGAGCTCTACGTATATATCTTAAGTATCTGAATTGCATATAAACTGAGTAGGACAGGGTTTTTTTTGAGGGGGGGTAATTTTATGTCTTTTATTTCTCTGTGCTATCTTCACAGTATAAAAACTGGAAACACGTCCATAGAACTATTTCTCCTACCCTTTCTTAGATCTTCATCCTCCTTTAAAGAGAGTTTTTCCTTATTAGGTCCATCCTTAAAAAAAACAAAAAAGAAGTAACCCTCTATGTTTGTTATGGCTATGTCTAGATGTCCCCCCAAAGCCTGTCATAGGTGGGGCTTTTCAGCGGTAGCTGGATCTAGAGTGTGTGTTGGTGGGATTAAACATGTAATGCTAGGACTGATTTATGTGCAATGCTAGCATTAAGGGTGCTCCATCCATGGTGTGAGTGGTACCTGCCATATGGGTAGCCTGGGAAGAATATAAGAGACAGAAAGAGGGCTGCTATTGTTGCTTGCTGCTTCACTACTTCGCTGCTTGCTGCCTTCTACTTTGCTGCCCTCTGCCCACCATGGACTGTTTCTCCTCTGCGATGCTTGTCTGCCATGCCAACCTGCCTTGGAGCCAGCCAATTATGGACTGAAACCTCTACACAAACTGTGAGCCAAAATAAACCTTTCTCCTTTAATTTTGAGTGTTGGAGATTGTGTCTCAGCAATGAAAAAAGTAACTAAGATAATGGTAGAAATGCATTAGGGAGGGCCGGGTATTTAGCTCAGTGGTTCCAGCGCCTGCCTCACAAGCATAAGGTCCCGAGTTCAATCCCCGGTACCAAAAAAAAAGAAATGCATTAGGGAAACTTTCAGAAGAGAATTGCCTTTTCAGGGGCCTCATCTTTTTTTTTTTTTTTTTTGGTACTGGGATCAAACTCGGGTCCTTGCACTTGCACAGCAGGCGGTGAAACCACTGAGCTAAACCCCTGGCCCTAAGGGGCCTCATCTTGATGAAACAAATGAGCACTCTGTTTCAAAGCATCTGCTTCACCAGCTAGAGAGCAAAACTAGTTCAGACCCTCATTTTTGTTTATTTGTACCAGGGATTGAACTTGGGACCTTGCACTTGCAAAACAGGCGGCAGAACCACTGAGGTAAATCCCCAGCCCCTCTTTTTTTTTTCGGTACCAGG